CATGACAGCTACAATAACCAATAATAACGAGACTACATAACCTACCCTGTGTATGTCTAGTGAGGAGGGAAGACACAGCCATACTAAGATTAGATAACAATAAGATAATGATAACACCATCGCTTACACAACCTACCTAGTTATCAGATGCTACCGCCGTGGGCTGCAAGACTAAGCTAACCTAAGCTAACCTATCCGAATTGGTTTTATTTTACGAAAGATTTTGAACTCTATATACCAGACGGGAATGGATAATAACGACACAATTGAATTTTATTAATTTTATGTACTTTTCAGTTTGAAGTGATGTTATGTGCGTGAAATTGAGTTAAGTATGGAACCCACATGCGTAAATTGAGTTAATTATGGATCACACATGCGTAAATTGAGTTAATTATGGATCCCACATGCGTAAATTGAGTTAATTATGGATCCCACATGCGTAAATTGAGTTAAGTATGGACCACACATGCGCAAATTGAGTTAATTATGGATCCCACATGCGCAAATTGAGTTAAGTATGGACCACACATGCGCAAATTGAGTTAATTATGGATCCCACATGCGCAAATTGAGTTAAGTATAGCTCCCACATGCGCAAATTGAGTTAATTATGGATCACACATGCGGTATGGACCACATGCGCAAATTGAGTTAATTATGATCCACATGCAATTGAGCAAGTATGGATCCACATGCGCAAATTGAGTTAAGTATGGACCCACATGCGCAAATTGAGTTAATCATGGATCCCACATGCGTAAATTGAGTTAAGTATATGGATCATGCGCAAATGAGCAATTATGATCCCACATGCGTAAATTGAGTTTAATACATGCGCAAATTGGATCCCACATGCGTAAATTGAGTTAAGTATGGACCACACATGCGTAAATTGGAGTTAAGTATGGCCTCACATGCGCAAATTGAGTTAATTATGGATCCCACATGCGCAAATTGAGTTAAGTATAGCTCCCACATGCGCAAATTGAGTTAATTATGGATCACACATGCGTAAATCGAGTTAAGTATGGATCCCACATGCGCAAATTGAGTTAATTATGGATCCCACATGCGCAAATTGAGTTAATTATGGATCCCACATGCGCAAATTGAGTTAATTATGGACCACACATGCGCATTATTGAGTGACATCATCCAGTCGTGACCAATGATGTACAGGCATTATAATTTCCATCACCATTTTGACAATGACCGTGGTGGATGTCGAGTGTGTTAAGTTAGGGTAAATGACTCGTTTTCGTGTTCTCCTCTACTCAAAACCCAGCCAAAAATGAAGGGTCACATTTGTTTAAAACTCACTGGAAAAACATATTGGTTAAACCCATAGGGGCTCTGAAAGTAAAAATTTACCACCTAACCTAACCAGGGTGTGTCGACATTTGCTCACAAGATAAATGCTATGTTAGGTTATGTTATGTTTACCTTCTAGTAGACAGTTACCAAACAGGGAGGTACAGGGAAGATAATGGTAGCATAATGTGATGTCTAATGGTAGACCCTGCTGCCATATGTGACCAAGTCCCAGGTTGATGATCTGACTCTCTGCCTCATTTACACACAATTGCAGGTCTCAATTGTTTCTCTGACTATTGACAACACAACATACATATATTGTTTCTCACTGTTGATTTTTTTTTCATTTTTGCATTTATTTGTGGTTATTATTATTATTATTATTATTATTATTGTTGTTGTTGTTGTTGTTGTTGTTGTTGTTGTTGTTGTTGTATTTTCGCCCCCAGGCCCTGAAGTGGGTCAGTGACCTGTGCCCGCGTAAAACAATAACAACACCATTCACAACTCATCAAATTTTAACATAAATCAAATTCTATTAACCGGGGAATTTAACTTAAATATATATTAGTATTAAATTAAATTAACACTGGTGGAGTTTAATTTAATTACTAACCAGTAACTAATAATAAGATGTGTTGAGGTTGTCTGTCTAACTATTTAATTATCTGTCTGTCTGTCTATCTATCTAATTATCTGTCTGTCTGATTGTCTGTCTATCTAATTAACTGTCCGTCTGTGTGTCTGTCTTCCTACGGTATGTATGTATGTATGTATGTATGTATGTATGTATGTATGTATGTATGTATGTATAAACAAGTACATTATTTCCACACTCTGGGGAGAGAGAGAGAGAGAGGATGTTATTTTGACGCTGACTTTTAACCTTGGTATTTTAACAGGAGACAAGTATACGTATGTTTTGATATGTCATTTACTACTGTAATTTTTAACATAATTTACCCCTTGAGTATGATGATTTAACCCCTTGAGTATGATGATTTAACCCCTTGAGTATGATGATTTAACCCCTTGAGTATGATGATTTAACCCCTTGAGTATGATAATTTAACCCCTTGAGTATGATGATTTAACCCCTTGAGTATGATGATTTAACCCCTTGAGTATGATAATTTAACCCCTAGAGTATGATGATTTAACCATGACAGTGTAGGTATATAAACAATGTACCTAGACAGTTCAGGTATAAACAAAATTTAGATAGACAGACAGACACAGAGACAGACAGACATACACAGACAGACATACACAGACAGACAGACATACACACACAGACACACTTACCTTGAATGCTGTGAACCATACCAAGGATTCAACTTAATAGGCCAAACACAAGGTTGACCACCATCAGCAACCACCCAGGCTTCACCATCACCTTCCGTCATCCCATCACCACCTTCCGTTCCTTCCTTACCCATATCTATCCCTCCCGTCAACACCCTATCCTCCATCTTAACCGAGAAGGGAGGTTCCATCACAGAGTCTGGGGTACTAAATGAGTAAAATGAATTGTGTTGAATTTCAGGATTTTGCATTGCCTGGGTGTTGGATAGGACTGTGGGTGGTGTTCTTGGGGATGATGGTAGGACTCCACACGATATAGCCGGGGATGTTGGTAGGACTCCAGGAGGCTCAGAAGGCAAGGCATCAGTACCCATTACCTCTTCTTCATAAGGTGGGTGATATTGAGCACTGACCTCGCAATATCTGCCGGGAATATTACCACCCTCCGGTACGCCATTATCCGGAGGCGAGTGTTCCAGTGACACGGGAGAATATAAGAAGGTGTACCACGGCTGCTCTGAGTCGGTCCATTCTTCAAGACCAGCCATACCTGTACATGTCATTGGTCTACCTGGAAAGTGGTCTTGTGTGCTTCTGTTGCTGCCGCTGCTGCCTGGAATCTGGTCTTCCGAAATGCAGTTGCCTGGAATCTGTGCTTCTGAAATGTTTCTATCTGGAATCTGGTCTCCCGAAATGCAGCTGCCTGGAATCTGGTCTTCCAAAATGCAGCTGCCTGGAATCTGGTCTCCCGAAATGCAGCTGCCTGGAATCTGGTCTTCCGAAATGCAGCTGCCTGGAATCTGGTCTTCCAAAATGCAGCTGCCTGGAACTTGGGAATCCAGTAACTTACATCCTGTGGTCCCAGCCTGTTGATCTTTCGGTCTTTTAAGAATGACTGTAACGCACTGACCAGAAACCTCTTCAGTGGACGTGGAGGGTGTAGAAGGCCCAGTGGGTGTATCCTGCGAGGGTGTAGAGGGCGTAGTTATCGTTGTTAAGGTGTCCTCAGTGGGTGTACTGGATTGGCTCACTTGAATGGACATGATCAGGTTCCAACTCACTCACTGACTCAAACCATCTCATAGGTTAGGTTAAGTTAGGTTAGGGTTAGGATAGTGTTCGATTAGGTTAATGTTAGGATACGTTAGGTTAGTGTTAGGTTAGTGTTAGATTAGTGTAAGGTTAGGATACGTTAGGTTAGTGTTAGGTTATGCGTCGACAACCTCAGATGGGACAAAAAAAAAACGAATCGTGGTGCGGACAGAGAGAAGAGGAGAGAGAATGTTGATGGGCACAGGGTCACGTTGGCACTGTCGTTGGCACTAAGAGATCACCACAGGAAGAGCAAAAGAGGCGGGGTTTAGAGGGGGGGAGAGGAGGGGAAGGGGGGTAGGGCTAGAGGAGGA